AGACCCCTCGAATTATGGATAGAAGTGCCCCTCAGAAGACCCCTCGAATGATGGATAGAAGTGCCAAACTCCACCTCGGTCTTCTCGCTCATACCAATGGGTTCACAGGACTTCAAACTACAGGTCAAAGCACTCATCAATAACCTATGCATGGCATTACCAATCAAATAACCCAACATCAAACAACGCCACAGTCTAGCCGAATCTGATGAAGTCGTCATCTCCCTATCAATCGCCGTGCTTCCGAGCAAATAATACAAATTGCTTCTTCTGACGCCCTTCATCACAATCATGGACCCCAATGTGACCTTCAAACGTGCATCCACCAAGGTCACTTTATAGCCAGATGCCACCAAAGCTCCTAGTGAAATGATATTCTTCGACAACTGTGGAACGAACCTCACTTCATCCAACTCCCGCACCATCCCGTCACTCATCTTAATCCGAACGGTACCAATACCACCAATAGAGCATGCATGTCCATTACCCATGAGCACAACATCCTCTCTTTCCAACTTCTGAAAGCTGGAGAACCAATCCCTCCTAGGGCAAACGTGGTATGAAGCACCCGAATCCAACATCCACTCTGTAGAGTTGGCAACACAAACTGACGGTAGTGCAGACAACGAATAGCCCGAAGAATCCGAATCTGAATCGTTGCCACTAGTCTTGACAACATTCACCTCTGAAGCTTGTACAGCTTTCCCCTTATTCTTCTCGGCTCGATCTAACTTTGGGCATTCAGCTTTCCAATGTCCATCCTCTTTACAAAAGGCACACTGATTCCTACGAATCCCACGATATGCACCTCTAGACTGCGACCTCCTGCTTCGGTTTGAACCACGGCCATGAACTACTAATGCATCTCCCGATGCCTTCTCGGAGGACTCATCAACACTCTTCCTCAACTCATAATTCACCAACGCTGAGGTCACCTCCTTATAACTAACAGTAGTTCTTCCATTAATCATAGTTAGGACAAACGTACCAAAATCATCATCTGGCAACGAACACAAAAGTAGCATCGCCTTGTCTTCATCCTCAACCATGATATCCACATTAGCCATGTCTGAAAGTAGCTTTGTGAAGTTATTAACATGCTCCCTAATGGAAACTCCCCTCTTCATCTTGAACTGGTAAAACCTCTTCTTCAAGTGAAGCCGATTCTCAATGCTCTTAGTAAGATACTTTTCATTGAGTGTTCCCCACATCTTCTTCGCCGACATCTCGTTCATCACGTCATAAATAAGATCCGGCGTCAAGCATGACCGAATAACTCCACACGCCCTACTATTCATCTTCTTCCAAACCTTAGCTTCCATCTCGGCAGGTTTCTCTTGTAACTCAAGAGTCTCCTCCAAATTCTGAGCGTCCAAGGCGTCCATCACCTGACACCTCCACAATCCGAAATTAATCTTGCCGTCGAACTTCGGAACATCAATCTTCATGTTATTGATGCTCAAACTATGTATCGTCTTCGTAAGAGACGATCCCGATGTGCTTGTTTCACCCATATTGTCGATCTAATCTTCAAATAAGAATCCTTCAGCGAATCCTTCAAACAAGCTCCCAAGTCCAACCCGGAGCTCTGATACCACTTGTTGTGCGCAGCGGAAATTTCGGCAGCACCTCCGGTGCGCAAGGTGCACAACAAGAGATTAGATCACAATGAAATTCTCGTTTCTCAAAGGAAACAAGAACCAAAAAGCCAGATATCTCATCAAAGTGAGATATCAGCTCTTCCTCTCGTCAGCTCTAGGACTGCGCGTCGAGGGATCCTACAAGCTATTACAAATCTCGGCAAGAACACAAATTTTACGTGGTTCGGCAAACTGCCTACGTCCACGGGGCAAGGAGGGGCAGATCTACTATTAGAGGGAGAGATACAACTAGGGTTTACAATCTCACAATCTAAACCCTCCAGCTCTAAGACTGCGCGTCGAGGGATCCTACAAGCTATTACAAATCTCGGCAAGAACACAAATTTTACGTGGTTCGGCAAACTGCCTACGTCCACGGGGCAAGGAGGGGGAGATCTACTATTAGAGGGAGAGATACAACTGGGGTTTACAATCACTCAATCTAAACCCTCACACAAACTCTCAAATCCCTCGCACAAATAATCTCTCAAAGGGGATACACAAAAGCCTGTTTGCACGAAGCCAAAGCCGCTGACTTTTCTCTTTTTCTCCGCTCTGCCTAGCACTGTTTTTGCACAGCCGCCAACCTTGCTACTGTGCAGCCGCCGAAAGAAAAGAAAAACAAATGACTCCTTCGCACTTGCTTTTGCTGCCGCCAGGAACCCCTCAACCTGCTACGTCCTTGCACCAAAAAACCCTAGGGAACTGCACATTGATATTTATACAGTTGAAAATCGGGTGGGCCTGTGGGTTTCCGCATGGGCTTAGTGATTTTTGTCTGCTGGCTTTTTCGCTGGCTCATCATTCACGTGAGTCTTTGAGTGTTCACGAGAACACCTCACACGCACAAGTGGCCCCCACTCACAATTCTCCACCTCGGCGAAGTTTTCCCAAAACTGAACCGACACCAACCAAATCAAATGCCTCCCCTTACTTTTTTTTGGCAGCAATTTATACCATAAAGTTTTAAAAACTTGCAATTGTATACCTTCACTTGTTTCATCAGCATTTGTATACTTTAAAGTTTTGAAAGTTTGCACTTAAATACCCTAAAGTTATTAAAACTAACAGTTTATTATCCTCCCCTATGAAAATTTGAGGGTATTTAACTATAAGTTTTAAAACTTTGGGATTGTAAGATCCACTTTTATAAACTTTACGTTCATTAAGTGTAACTTTTAAAAATTTAAGGTATATAAATGCTACCAAAAATTAGAAATAGTATACATGTGAAAGTTTTAAAAATTATAGTATTTCCATTACTTAATGTTATATATCTATAATAGGCTCATACGCATATTTGTGATCATGGGTGTCTTGCCGAGGCTGTAATACACAGAAGGTTAACATATAAGAAGCTACACCAACGTATAAAGATTATAGTATTTCTACTTATGCAGTTATGCCATAAAGTACACTATACTTGAAGTACCCTATAGTTTTTGTTTGGTATACTTGCACTCAAGTACCCTATCAGCCTATTTGGATGGAGGGTAGAGAGATAAGGGAAGAGAAATTTTATTTTAACCTTGATTGGGAGTTTCATTTAGGAGGATAGAGGAGGGGAATGGAGGGAAAAATTAAGCCAAAATCTTACACCCCAATTTAGGGTATAATGGAGGGGAAGGGAAGGAAGGGGAATTTTTCTCCTTCCTCCCCCTTCCTTCCCTTTTCTAAGTGAACTCTCAAATAAGTCATATAGTTTCCCCTTACTTATTTTTGGTAGCATTTTTATACCATAAGTTTAAAAAATTACACTTGTATACATTCACTTGTTGCATCAGCACTTCTATACCTTAAAGTTTTGAAACTTGCACTTAAATACCCTAAAGTTATTAAAACTAACACTGTAATATCTTCCCCTATGCAAAATTGAGGGTAGTTAACTATAAATTTTAAAAACTTTGGGATATTTAAGATACACTTTTATAAATTTTATGTTGATTAAGTGTAAGTTTTAAAAACTTTAGGGTATATAAGTGCTACCAAAAATTAGAAAGGGTATACATGTGAAAGTTTTAAAAGGTTTAAGGTAGCTACTAGAAATAAGTATATGGTTTTGTAAGTACATCATAGTTAAAACAATAAGGTATTTAACTGCAATTAACTTTTTTGTTTCTAATGACAAGTATTTTCTAGTCGTGCTCTTCCCATTGGAACACACACATGTATAAAACTTATAATTTAAAGTAAAGGAACTAAAACAGATAACAATAACACAAGATTTGAAGGAATTAAACTAGTAGTAAAAAATTTATACTTTTGAGAGCAATTTTTAAAACTTTAGGGTATTTAAGGATAAGTTTTACAAACCTCACCTCCTCCCTCTCCTCGAAACCCTAGGCTCCGTCGGATCTCCGATCTACGTCGATCTCTTCCCCTTCGGCCTCTACCCCAAGAGCCACGCGGTACGCCGGGAGGTACAACCGGGGGCTGGTGAAGCATCTTCGGTCGGGGATCGGGACCCCGATGAGGAGGAGCGGCGTCGATGAGGTTTATGTGCATCAACTGTTTGATGATATTGATCACGATGAGGGTTTGGCCGTGGGGTCTGATCGCTTGGATTTGGAGTGGGGAGTTTGGTACAAGAGGTACGCCGGGAGGTACAACCGGGGGCTGGTGAAGCATCTTCGGTCGGGGATCGGGACCCCGATGAGGAGGAGCGGCGTCGATGAGGTTTATGTGCATCAACTGTTTGATGATATTGATCACGATGAGGGTTTGGCCGTGGGGTCTGATCGCTTGGATTTGGAGTGGGGAGTTTGGTACAAGAATTTGAGCACCAAGTATGATCTGGACTTGTCTGGGCTTGGGAGCGGCCGAGATGCGGTGGTGGCGATGCTGACCATGGGCTTCTTTTGGGTGCTCCTGATTCTGGTTGTTGCTTGATTGGGTTCAAGCTCCCTTTTTTTTTCCCCCTCTCTCTCTCTTTCGAAATTTCACTGAAGCTCGCAACAAAAAGATTCGATGTCTAAAAATGACTTAGAATCGTCGTTGTTGCTGTTATGGAAAAAATTCTCACGGGAACTTTTGTCGCTCTAGCGGTATTTTTTAGTTTTCTGGATAATTACGCTTACTTGCTCCGCTGCATTCTGTCACAGAACAGAGTTGCAATTAACACTGTTTAGTTTACGACAGTTACATTTTTCCCAGCCGCAAATACAAAAATAAGATGCGTTTTAATTTCTACAAACACAGAAAGGAACTTAATTATCAGTAAACTGTTTTTTTTAAATAAAAATTGGTTCACATTTCTAGACTGCAATTGCAAAAAAAAAAAAGAAAAAAAAAATTTACAAAAAGCAAAATACAACTGCAAGTATACATTGAAAATTTCACATCGCAAACGACCTAATAGTGTTACAATTACCACTTAATATAACATGAAACGAAATGGACAATATATCCTGTTAGCAGCAAAATTGGTTCCTAGCAACTCTTTATTGTACAGTAGTAAAATTAAACAAGGGATGATTGCCTTTAAGCAGTCGTCCCAGTACAGGAACCAAGAATCGATTAGGTTATACTAGTACAGATATGCCCCAAAATTTAGAAGACTTGGCGGACATTAGTGTAGTTATACATTTGGAGGCTGTTTGTTCAATGAGCCTCTTCTTTATTCCAACAAGATGAAAAAAGCGAAAATTTGCCTGCGCTCCTCAACCGGAAAATATTGAATGATCCAGCTAATATCTCCTACTCGAGGAAATGACTGTTTATTGCAAATTGATCTTGACTGGTAGAATTGACCTGTAGAAGTGTTATTGAACTAAAAAAGCAAATAACATCATTAACAACAAAGTCACGTGTTACACTCGCACTTCTTTTGCAAACAGTTTTTTGACCTGTCAGGTAAAGAACAAGAATGAAAAGTCATTATAGGAAACTTTTATGTTGTAATATTGAAAAGTAAATAGAAGATGAAGATCTTGGATATGCATTTCAATGCAAAGAGTATCAAACAACGGTTTTTACACTACCTGTTCCAAAGTCAAAAACATAATTACGTTCCATGAACCTAGACGACCAAAATTTGGAATGAAACCCTTGTAGAAAGCAAGCGGACCCTGCAAGGAGAGAATCATTAATTATCTCAAGTTTCATGCTTCGTATTAATATTTGAGCATAGTGATACAACTTATTATTAAGAAAGAACAACAACATTACACAATAATCAAGATGTACTCGAAGGATACATAGTCAATTTTCAATTGGGGAAGGCAAACTTCCCTATCGTAAAAATGAATATCTTGCATGACTCGTGATGACGAATTTACCCTTGTTTACAGGGCCAGTCTAGCTGCTCTTCCGCTCTTTGTTGTTAATATTTATTCTTATCACAAGATCAATACAAAAATTTGTTGTGCGCAGCGGAAATTTCGGCAGCACCTCCGGTGCGCAAGGTGCACAACAAGAGATTAGATCACAACGGAATTCTAGTTTCTCAAAGGAAACAAGAACCGAAAGCCAGATATCTCATCAAAGTGAGATATCAGCTCTTCCTCTCGTCAGCTCTAGGACTGCGCGTCGAGGGTCCTCTCGTCAGCTCTAGGACTGCGCGTCGAGGGATCCTACAAGCTATTACAAATCACGGCAAGAACACAAAATTTTACGTGGTTCGGCAAACTGCCTACGTCCACGGGGCAAGGAGGGGGAGATCTACTATTAGAGGGAGAGATACAACTAGGGTTTACAATCACTCAATCTAAACCCTCAAACAAACTCTCAAATCCCTCACACAAAGTCTCTCTCAAAAAGCTCTCCTCTGTCTGCGCTTTCTTTTCACTGTACGAATCCCCAAAAAAGAGTTCTGCCGAAAACAACTCAGGCCAAAAACAACTGTCTTCGCACCTGCACACAGCCGCAGAAAAAACAAGCTCCTGCACACCTCTTTGCTGCTTGCGATTTTCTCCAAAAGCCACCGGAAAAACTCGCACGCACAAAGAAGCCGCCAACGAAAAAGCTTCTGCACCCCTCAATAGCTCCAAATTCGAAACCCTAGGCAAATAGGGTATTAATAGGCAGCTGGTGTTTGTTTTCGGGTGGGCCTGCTAATGTTCTCAACTCCTCACGCGTTTTCCGCTTTTGCATTCACCTCACGTGGGTTGTGGCCCCCACGTCTTCACCTGACCAATCAACAAAATTTTCTCCACCAAATGATAGAGAAGAAGCAAGGCACAAGGTTGTTCATGGTTCTCAATGGCAATGACAGAGTCAATGAAAGCCTTTGATTAAATTCGAAAAGGATTATCATTTTTAATGCACTTGTTGAATATGTGCTAAAACAAATTGATAAGATTAATGGAAAAGATAAATCTTTTGGTCAAAGGTTGGGTTTTTACTCAAAAGGACTTCACTGAAGAACCCAGTTCTTTCATCAGGTCCATAAAACTGGACTGTGTTGCACGGATTTGACCAAATACATCTTTGAAATGTTTCAAATATCTTATCCATCACAACGTAACATAATCAAAGGAAAAATGGACATACATCATTTTTTAGAGTCTTGACGAAGCAATCAAGTGTGCCTTTGTAGGCTGAATCTCCCATCATTCTGGACTTAACCTGCACAGAGCCATATCCGCCATTAGCTATAATGTGATTTGATGAAGGAAAAAAGTAATGATTTTGAATTAATTAAGAATTGATGTCCTTGATTTTAAATTAAATAGATTAACAACCAATTGTTACCTATCTCAAACATAACAAAGTATTATGTATCTATTTTATTTAACATTTTTCCTCCAATGTCATGCAATGGATAACTGCCAAAAAAAAAGCTGAAGTGGCCAAATTTATAAGAGGATATAATGGCACGAGAATAAGGTCCTTTTCTTTTATTTTCCATGATAGATGATGATGAATCTTTTGGTATTGACAGAAACTTTATCAGGAAATGCATTAAATTTTAGGAAAAAGAGGGGGATGAGATTATGTATATTAAAACTGTAGGAATACGCATTAGCCAAAGTAACAAAACATGACACGAACCTTGCAATACATGAATTAACCTACCTGGGGACCTGCACGAAGTGCCGGCAAAAAAAAAAAAAAGGAAAAGAAGAATTAACCACGCCTACCGAAAAAAGGTATCTAGTTTCAGCCAGTTGTGATGAATGGAAATATGATCTTCTAATAATCGTGCAATGAAGATTTCCATATATATTTATACAATAGTTCATAGCAATAGACTCATATAGTTGCCAATTCTAAACATTGAAAATTTAGCAAGAGAAATATGCATACCTATTTTAATACCTAAGTTAAGTTTTACGCTTTTATAGTTCGTTTTCTATATCTTACTTCATCACACAGTCATCTCAAAAAATATAAATCCAAAAGATGGTTAATGCATGACGCGTGTCAGGCAAATTATCTGTTTCTGATGTTAGTAAGTCATTTGATTCCCTTGTTTCAGTAAAGTTTAGCCCCAACTTTTGGGACAACAATAATAAAGAGTACAAAAGAAATTGACGGGTAAGGATAGCATACCACATCAACAGGGGAACCAATACAGACTGCAACGAAGCCAGCCCCAAGACCAGATAAAAGATGGGTAAAGACATTGTCAGAGAAGCCGGGAATTTTCAATATGGTCTGTGCAAATCACAAAAATTACGGAGCAAATAAGAGGCAACATTAAAAGGATACAAAAATATCCAATGAGAATCTTCTATGATGACTGGAATATAAACCTGTTTCACTTGGTCATAACTTGCCAATTCTGCAGCATTTATTATAGCATTACGTGCAACATTAGGACCAAGCCCAGTCCACAGAGCACCCACTCCTTCCTAACATTTTGAAATCTTTGACAACTTAAGTAAAATAACATGACTGAGTAAAGGTAGAATTAATTGGAGTTCAATATAAAACCTGTCTGACTATAGTCGAGTATGCATTCAGAGCTCCTGAATAACGTCTTGGTACACCCGCTGGAAGCTTACCTTCAGCTTGAAGTCGTACTTTCACCAAATCGGTTGGATTAGCGATTGTTATTGCTATAGCACCTATTTGAGAATTATAACACAAACATGTTATAAAATTGTCAGGAGTAACCCAAAGAAGAAATCTTACCTTAGAAATTGTAAAAACTCAAATGTAAATTGGTCAAACAGATGTAGTTTCACTGACACGAACGTTATGAATTAAACTATAAAATGGACCTAGACCTACCAGTTGTAAGGCCAGCAAGTATTTTCTTGGTTAGAGGAATATCTCCAACGAAATTCTCACCAACATACAAGGATTTAACCTAACAAAAGAACCAACAACTAACAAATAAGGAATATAAATATCAAGCAAATTCCGATTTGATAAACAGTATAAACTTACCGGCTCATACAGTCCGATCCGTAGGCCTCCAAATACACATTGACGATGTAATCCTGGCACAATACCTTTCCAAAGTGCTGCCATGCCTTCTTCTCTAGCAATTGTAGATACAGTGCCTAACATGCCTCTGTATTTTGGTAAAGTCGCTACATCTCCTGAAACCGCTTTCTTTTGAAGCTGAAGCCTGACTTTTGCAGTGTCCAAAGGAATGGTGCAAATCTGCAACAAATCAAAACAAATAGTCGAAATAAAATATGTTCATTATGTTGCAACTGGGTTTATTGTGTGGGGATGAGATGAGGTTTTCGAGTTGTGGTTTCTGCATCATTTAACATTAAAATCTCATCAACATAAACTGATGAGCATCTTAGAGAAGTAGCAATTGCATAATTAACTACCCACAATTTCCCCCTTTTAACAGAAGATCTGATAATGTACTTTACTTTACATGCACTGTGCATGACTATAATAGATGAGAAGAACAAAAGCATGTTTAGCTTTAAAAAAGTGAGAGATGTCCAGGATTCTAGTTGAAAGTTCATCGGTGCACTAATTCCGGGTACCGAACATTATCATATACGGTTCAGTACGGTTGACAACAATTCAAGATGGGTTTCTAGCTATGTTGTCAAATAACAGAGAAGATATAGGAACGAAAATGGATTGGTGCTGAAAATATGCCTAAAATATAGATGAATCAAGACCAGAGGTCAGCTCAATAGTTAAACCAACGACCTATTGCAGAACTCTTTCCAAGCATTGCGTGTAAGAAGTTTTTGATAATCTACAAGCTGATTTTGAACAAATCAACCAGTGTATGTATAACCCTCAATTCACTGAATGGACGCACAAACATATTCTAGAGCAAAAAATAAGAAAATTCCACAGCAATATAACAACATTAGGGTTCTTATACATCGTTAGGAAAACAACTAATATCCAATTCCTAGAATAAAGCCCAATTATATGTGCTAATAACTAGAGAAATCATACACGTGCATCTCTAGGCTGATCTAGGATCAAAAGGCATAAACGTGGAATTTTTCAAAGGAAAGTCAACAGAAATAAAGAAATTGAAACGCGAGCAGCACCCAGTAACAACAGTCAACTCAGATCACACAGAAACTGTGGAGCAAAATCGATTGACCGATCGTACCTCGGCGAAGCAAGCGGCGATGGCGCTGCTGGCGAATCTCCCAGCAAAAGAGATTTCGGTCTTCGATCGGTGATCGGCCATAGCCGCCGGAGTCTAGACGGCAATCTGTCGCCGGAGAAAATGAGAGGATTTGGGGGTCTAGGGCTCTGGTGTTTAATTATTAATTAATTAACTAATAATAAAAAGAGAAAAGACGAGCAGGATGAGAGAGCAGAAGCAGCTCTTGGGAACAGCAAAAGCGAAAGCGATGTCAAACGGCGCTAACGATACGCTTGCTTGCAAGCGTGAGGGGTTCGTCTGTAAATTTTCGGAACATTAATTTTATTGGGCTGTTTTTAGTGCTACAATTGAGAGCTTGACCCTTGTTGGGCTTTTGAATGTGGGCTTTTCTTTTAGCACACAACATGAGTACAGGAATAAGAATTTAAAATTGATGATCACGTAACATTCTCCTTCCTATTTGTATGATTTTCTATGAAGGAATTACAATTGATATCAGAGTGCCGTTGATATGATCTTGCCCAATTCATGGGCTTGGTACGCAGGCCGTAGGACCCACCACTGACTATAAGCATATGGGTTTGATTATTAGTTAGCATCGTGGGCCCTCAAAGAGCATGCGACATGATGAAAATGAAAAATTTATTAGTTAACATCATTAACTCTTTGGTCAAATTTAGTACCATTAACATCGCTTTCATTTTCCTCGCTTCATATTAATCATCCCTCTGCCTGTCGCCAACTCCTTTGCATGTTTTTTTTCTTTCGAATTACTCCTCGCATCGTTAGCATGCTACAAAATCTGGCCCAATCTTTCAGGGGCCCATTACACTGGGCCCATCTCTCAACCACTCCCCGAATCAACCTTCGGTCGCTCGTCCAATCAGTCACCCGCATTAATTAAATCCAGCGATTAGTTACCAAATTAGAAGAAACAAAAGCGGGGTCAGCTGAGAATAATTCTGGCACGTCGGCGTTATCCTGAATAGACTCGCTGATACCAAGCTCGTCCCTTCTTCCAGCCAGCGGTGCTACGTCGACGCGTATGTGATTTCCGTGACGTGTCATCTTTCTAGATCCATTATCCCTTGTTTCGCTGTTCTTGTCCTATCACCTGATCACTACCCACTCGCTTCGCTTCTTTGCCAGAAAAGATATTTTATTCATGTTTGCCCGCTTTTTTAATCTTTCCCTCTTGCCCTTTCTCTTCTTTTCATTCATTTTGTTTCCTCTGCTCGCGGCAAAAAGCGAGACCTCTTGAATCGCTGCTCTCGAAAGCGAGAGATCCGCGATCTAGATCAAATAGCGATCACTCGATTGATTGATTCATAGTATCTCTGTCTAGATCTGCTGGTCTTCAGCTCAGTTTTTTTTTTCAAGGCGAATTTTTTATTATTATACTTTTTTGGCGAATCGTCGGCGGGAGATCAAGGGCAAATGGCGTTCAGCGGGACTCTGCAGAAGTGTAAGGTTTGCGATAAGACTGTTTACTTCATGGATCAGCTGACTGCCGATGGGATCTCGTATCACAAGGCTTGCTTCAAGTGCCATCACTGCAAAGGAACCCTAAAGGCAATTATTCTGACTTTTTTTTTAATTGTTGTTGAGATTTTAGTGGATTTTAGTTTGTTTTCTAATGGCATGTCTGCGTGAAAAAGGCTTTGAATTAAAGATCAGAAATAGTTATTTAAAAATTTGTGTAGGAATTTGCTGCGTGGGGAAGAATCTAGGATCGAAATGAGGCGGTATATCACCAATTGAATGTCAAGGGTACGAAACGAGTAATGGAGATCATAAAATTTCCATATTAATGATTTTTTTTTAATTTGATATTGAGGTGTACAAGTAACGGAGAATAGGAAAGAATTTTACCCTAAATTTTGGGAACAGTTACGTGGATCATTCTGTTCCGTTTAGCTACAGTAAGGGCCTTTCTCGGTTACAATGTATTGTGAACGTTTTCTCTTAAACTTGGCCAGGATAGGATCATTGTTGTTTACCCATTTATTGTTATTTTTCCGAGAAAAAGGATGAGGGGCTGAAGAGAACCCCCAGCCGTGTCTACGTGTTGTTTACCCATAGTTACAGCTGCTTTCTTTTTGGACTTTGTTTTACACATTCACGACAATTCCTCTTCAGCTCGTCTTTAACTGGAACTGCCAGTAAGTTCTCAGTGATGCTTCCTTTTGTCATATATTTTTGCTAGTCCATCTTGACCTCGAGTTGCATATTGATGATCTAGCATCACATAATTTCCTTGAATAAGGTTTTTCCCCCCGACATACATTTGAATGGAACTGCTTGGTGTGATATTTCGTGTGTTAGAGAAGTAAAAAGGATTTCATTTCAAGCAACTTAAGATCAACCTTTCAGTCTGGTTCATTTACTAGTCATGACTCGCAATGTGGTCCGCCGTCCATCACCAAAACATTATGATCTACCTTATTAATTAACCATTATTTTGGCATCATGTGACTCTTTGATAGACTTTTTTCGAAATTATAATCATATCTGCAGTGCTATGGCCTATATGGGCACTATGAACGTTAATATGAACTTATTGTTGGAAACATAACATACAACGTAGCGGAAATTGCACATCATGTAGATTAATCAAAAGTAATTGAAATCTAGAAGAATACCTGAAACACTTTCTAAATTTCTTCAATAATTTGTCCTAAGATCAATACGAAATAGCTTCTTCAAGAGAAAAAACATCCAACTGAAATTCACCCGTCACCGAAGATGAGCAATACTGAGAGATAGATGTTAGAAAATCTCTGCAAATAATCAAAATAATTCAAAAGAGGGTTAGAAAACGCAGGCCTGAGAGGGGTAATCGTGTGATCACTGCCCTAGAACAATAGTCGCCGCCTTCGCAGAGACGATTCAATGCGACTACGCCTAGCGGTAAGAACCCCCGAGATAAGCCGGCACCAAAGTTTACTGCGAACTTTGATCTCTTGCTCAATGGATGTTTGCCCCAAAATAAAATTAGAAATAATTTGTAGAGTATATAAATGAGAGAGAGAGAGAGAGAACAGAAGCTACCAACTTTTCTTCTTGTTTTTTCATCCTCCATTGAGATCCCCTTTAATAGCCCTTGTGAATTTTACCGTTGTCGTTGATGAGGCCGGAGAAGACGCCTACGTTTTTTCCGTTGTCATTGACGAGATCTTCGCTCGGAGGAAAAGAGGGAGAGAGCGGAGTAATCATCGGGATTTTCCTTAAACGCTCGAAGAAAGAAAGGTAAGAGCGGAGGAAGAGAAGAAGGGAAAACGTTACAGAAGAGGATAAAGAAGGAAAGAACATTATGCAAATGTACTCCTCAAAAAATCATATTTGCATAAAAAATTCATTAAAGAACTCAATCTTTTTAAATTAATTCCAACAATCCCCCCCAAAAGATTGAGTTCCGGGAAATAAAAGAATAATAATAACAACAACAATGATAATGGTAACAAAATATAGCTTGGGCAACCTCATATTATGAATTCGGCAAAGATAGCTTTCGGCTTTGAATCTTTGCTTAGTGACATTTGTCGCAATCTGAGGAGCATAATGGATTAGACCTTGAATTAGGCCCATTTGATCAGAAATTAACAAAAGCACACATAATATGCATCCATTTATTGAGCGAGCGGGTTGGAGCGATAATGGCCATGCTCACAATAACCGTCTCATGAGAGTTACTAGGACTCAGCCCCATGTCCCCAACCGCGGCCTCACGGTTCCTCTCACGTAGGTAAGTCCTCCAAGGGTACTGTGACTGGATATTGCACCCTCCACAAAGGTTGGACTTATTAAGAGTAAAACTCATCCTGCCCAGTCACATCATAAGAGCACTGTCACCATAGGAATGAGGGAGTAGCTAACATGGTGCAAGTCATAAATGCATCCAACACTACAAAAGGAGTATAACTCCGACGGTCAGTGCTCCACACGAGATCACCAATCCAGCTTGTTTCTACCACATTGAACCTTTTTCATGAGAATAACATCATCAATCAAAGGTTGGGTTCCCGCTGTCAGTGAACTCTACTATGGGCTTAACCCCATTCCCCTCGATGATTCTAGGATTGCACTCCTAGATAGACCCTTTGTCAAGTGGTCTGCCAAATTTTTCTCTGACTTTACAAAATCCAAGGCAACATATTTTCCCATAAGGTTCTGCACAGATTTAAATCTTATCTGCAGATGTCTGTTCAACTTTTTATAGATGGTATTTTGTTTTAAAAGTTCTATAGTGGATCTGGAGTCCGAATGAATAGATATAGGAGGAATAGGTCCAGACACAAAAGGGAGTTCAGATATAAGGTTTTTCAACCATTCAGCTTCTGAGCAGCAAGAATCTAAAGCTATAAGTTCAGACTCCATGGTGCTTCTAGCGATCACTGTTTGTTTACAAGATTTCCAAGATATAGCAGCACCGCCAAGCATAAAAATAAATCCAGAAGTAGACTTCACATTGTCAGAATCAGTGACCCAGTTAGCATCACTATACCCTTCAATCACATCAGGGTATCCAGAGAGAGCCTATCAATTGTGAATATCTATGTTGGGATATAGGCTCACCATCATGTTTGTTCAAGGTGATAGAGGAATCATAAGGTGTACTCACAAGTTTGCACTTATGAAAATCAAATTTCTCTAACATTTTCTCTATGCTATGGGATAGACTCAAAGAAATGCCTTTAGAAGTTTTGGAGATTTTCATTCCAAGAATCAAATTAGCTTCTCCAAGATCTTTCATGCCAAAATTCTTTGACAAATAATTTTTAGCTTCTAGAACGACTTCGATTGAAGTCCCAAAGATAAGAATATCATCTACATACAAACACAAGATGACACAATCATTGTGAATAACTTTTGAGTAAACACATTTATCAAACTCATTGATAGAAAAACCATATTCTATAATGATTTTGTTAAATTTTTGATGCCATTGTTTAGGAGCTTGTTTAAGCCCATATAAAGATTTTTTCAATCTACAAACCTTTCTTTCTTGACCTTTGGCTATGAACCCTTCCGGTTGATCCATATAAATATCTTCTTCGAGATCACCATTTAAGAAAGCGGTCTTAACATCCATTTGGTGAATAATCATCTTGTGAATAGAAGCTAAGGCTAGAAGAACTCTAATAGAAGAAATCCTAGCTACCGGTGAGTATGTGTCAAAATAATCAATATCCTTTTTCTGAGTATACCCTTTTGCTACTAGTCTAGCTTTATATTTCTCAATGGTTCCATCAGGTCTTAATTTCTTCTTGAAAATCCATCTACAACCAATTGGTTTACATCCTGGAGGTAAGTCAGTTAAAACCCAAGTGTTATTTTCTATAATAGATTTAATTTCACTATCTATGGCTTCTTTCCAAAAAGGAGCTTCAGAAGAATCCATGGCTTCATGGTATGTGTTTGGATCACCTTCAACCAAAAATGTAAAGAACTCTTCTCCGAAGTTCTTTTCGATTCTTCCTCTCTTGCTTCTTCTGGGTTCTACTTCTATCGATTGTGGAGTACTAGAAGATGAGGCAAATCTAGAAGGGAAAAGAGAAGAGAGCTCACTAGGAATCCTAGTCTTGAAAGGGAATATATCTTCAAAATATACAGCATCTCGCGCCTCAATGATAGTATTGTTGGTTATATCACTAATATCTGAGAAAGAGAAGAGAGCTCACTAGGAATCCTAGTCTTGAAAGGGAATATATCTTCAAAATATACAGCATCTCGCGCCTCAATGATAGTATTGTTGGTTATATCACTAATATCTGAGTTGACTACTAAAAATCGGTTTGCGTTGCTATCTAATGCATATCCAATAAATGCAGCATCAACAGTTTTTAAACTAATTTTTCTCTTTTTAGGTTCAGGTATCTCTACCTTAGCTAGACATCCCCAAACCTTAAGATAATCTATTCTAGGTGTTCTACCCTTCCAAAGTTCATAGGGAGAGATATCAGATATTTTGTGAGGTACCCTATTAAGAATGTAGCAAGCAGATAGGAGCGCTTCACCCCATAGGTTTTCAGGTGCTCCTGAGCTGAGAAGCATACAATTTACCATATCCACGAGAGTTCTATTCTTCCTTTCAGTAACTTCATTTGATTGTGGTGTGTAGGGAGCAGTCACCTCATGAATAATACCGTGTTCTTGGCAATATTCGGTCATGCTATTTGAGGTATACTCTCCCCCACGATCCGATCTTAGGATCTTGATTTTCTTCTCAATTTGATTCTCAGCTTCTGCTTTATATATCTTAAACTTTTCTAAGACTTCATCTTTAGTTTTGAGAAGATATGTATAACAATACTTTGAATGATCATCTATGAAGGTTACAAAGTATCTTCTTCCTCCCCTAGTAAGAATTCTGTTTGAATCACAAACATCACTATGTATGAGTTCTAGAGGTTCAGAATCTCTATGAATAGAATGGAAAGGTTTTTTAATGGTTTTAGCTTGAACACATATCTCACATTTAGAAGGTGGATCTATCCTGGTTTTGGGTATTAAGTTCAAGGATGTCATTTTTCTAATGGTTCCATAGTTTATGTGTCCTAACCTTTCATGCC